AAGTGCTTTAAATAACAGGCACTGTTTTTTGTCTCGTTTAAAATGAGAAAGAACCATTAGTATCGTCAATCAAACACGTGACGAGAGTATATATATATATACCGCCATCAGAGTCATGTTACCATGACTTTTTCGTTACCATTCACCGTAACATTACCATCAACATAAATTTTTTTTACCATTACCATCTTTATGAATGTTTATTATTACCTTTACCATTACCGTGGTAATGATAATGGAATTCCCATGGAAATAGAAGACATTCTCACAGAAGGAACAGAGAAACATAAACACGTGCATAAACCACAAAATAAAGAATATGTAGGATCATGGACTAGCCTGAACGTTATATAACATTGAACTGTATTACATACACTAGACTGACATACGATACCGTCTATAATAAAGTTATAATAAAGAGATGGTATGATTTGATCGACGATACCAAAGTTTTTTTCTCATTTCAAACGAGACGAAAAACAGTTTCTGGTATATAAGGCACTTTATTAAACTAGCGAAAATGAGACCCATTCAGATAACAGAACAGAGAACTGAATTTGCTGTGTACATCCTCTGAGTTTACTACCTGACTCTCTATTCATACTGATTTTTCCTTTTAGAGATTATAACATGACAAAAGCATTGTCTGCTTGACGAACGCATTAAAATTTCCATTTTCTGTGGATGAATCATCGAAAAAACGGATCTTTTTTACTTTTGACTAGGCTTGCAAAAGTTCAGTGTTCGTTTTTAGCTTTCTCTTTGAACGTAACGCTAAAGCACGTTGGCGTTCCTTCAACGTGAACGCTAAATATGACGTTTTTTGAACGTGAACGCGAATGTTCTGATGAACGTTAACGTTATTTTATATGAACGGTGTTGATCTTACGTGGAATGAATTGTATTGCAAAACGCTATATAGCAGTTTCACCTAGTAGTATACCAGGTGAAACAGCTTTCTCCATTACCACTTATATTTAGTGAAAAATCAACGGCCGTTTGTCCCAAAGGGGTTAAAATAACAAAGGAAAACGTATCTAGTTACTGTAATGGTTTTGACCAAGGAACTTCGGTTCCAGTGCCGGAAAAACTAGTCTTCTGGTCAGGAAATCCGCGATCTGTTCTTGAAAGAATCAGTGTCTTGATCGAAGAATCAAGGGGTATCCTTTTTACCTTGCAACAATCTGGCCACTGCCCTTCGCAGACCATCTGATCCTTCATCAGAGTTTCTATTGATCACAAAAGACCAAGCAGAAATATATATGTTCTTACTACATACAAGAACGTTCGTACGCATATGATTCGAAAGCTCGGATATATGAGTCCATATGAAGACTGTTTTCCTTGATTCTTCATAATTGCTAGCACCGATGGTTGTCGATGCGCCATGAGGAGAATATCACCAGTGCGATAGACATCTCTCCAGCCTTTAAAATAAACAGAGGTCACTTTAGTACTTTTCTAATCTTTTCCAATCACTTTGAACAAGTATAGCAGAGTCATGCCATCTGACGAGACCCTTCAACAAGGTCGAAATCCGGATCATGGCTAGTTGGACTCACCCTTACCCTCGTGTTTTATAATGTAGTTTAAGCTTCGGAACATACCTGATGATGACTACTACCTGATGAGTAGTAGTCGAAACAATCGTCGTATGATTTGCTTTGAATCTATCGTCGTAAACACACCTTCAAATATTTTGTCCTTTAAAATATTACGGCATTGTGACCGCAACGATGTGTACTGCAACAATTTGCCATGCGACTATCTGTTCTAAGATGAAAAGTCCGGTTAGAATCTTGTATATCTCTGTTGTATTAATTTGCAACATTGCGCATAGGAAAAATACTAATACTTTTGATCTCATAACATTCAACACCATAAAAATTTTCTTTCAGAAAACGGTCAGCGGAATCGTTAGATGAGCGCTACTTGTTGTCGATATTCAATGATAAACTATTTCATCTCATATTATTGTTTTTTACATTTCTATCGTTATGGAATAATATATTCAGAATGGGACAAAAAATAAATTAAACTATTATCGGTTTCTTTTTCTTCTTAAAATTATAATGTTTTATTCAATATTTATTGGAAGAAAACAGAAAAACAACCACCTTATAAATATGCATACATAAATCTATAGATCAAAGAAGGATTAGAAGAAAACGGGAACATAATATAAAATAGCAAAGAAAATACGTGATGTATTCGAACGATATCACTCGAGCAAAAATATTAACTCATGTTTGAAATAACCCACGAGAAGAAAAAGAAAAAAATACCTAAGTAAAAGGATTATGACGTATATATAAGTTACCAATTCTATTGAGATATTATCAATTCACATTTGGCACAGACCACAACATAATATGTAGTAGTAGTACCTTATATATACGACATAGTCCTTTTACTGAGTATGTTTTTCTCTTTCTTCTAATGGATTTTTTCAAGCGCAAGACGAGTCAATATTGACTAGGATGTCGATGTGGGAAAAACTCCACCGAAGAAAGAGAAAAAAATATATAGCAGGCACAAAGGCCGATGTTAACGGAAATTGGCCCCCGAAATCACTCTGTTTTATACTTCATGAACGTTCCCTGAAAATTTTGATTTAATCAGTAGATAGAGCATAAAAAGTTGCTCTGTAAAATAATTTTCAGAACTATATCGCTAGAACTCATTGTTTGGAAGCATCTGAAAACTTGGAAAAAATGGGGGTATATCAACTCGTAACGAGAAACAGGGCTTTTGTATTACGAAAGCCCTGTTGTTATTTATTCTACAGTGCTTTCGCATACAAATAAAACAGAGCTTTCGTATCGATTTTGACAGGGCTTCCGTGCCGATTTTGACAGAGCTTTCGTATCAGAAAAATGCAGGGCTTTCGTAACTAACTTTTGTATTACATTCATAATCAGATTGAAAGGCTAATACTCTATAACAAACAGGGTATTCTTAGTGAATACTCTTGCTTAAAAATATCTGTTAAGTCAGTGGATGCCGTCCATTCGTGAAGACTGTTATGTACTTTAATGCTCAAAACACGTAGTACTATCCTGTGTATTAATCATCTGCACACACTTATAGATGTCGCAGTCACTTCTAAACATTCACTTTTCAACATTGTCTACGTGATTATACAAGTATTTCTTGTTGTAACTGTTGATTTAAGGTCAAGAAAATCAATTGTGTACACTTATTTCTATGCTATTTGCGCTTATTGCTCGTTCAATTTTCTCCCTCGCTGTTTCTCAAGACTGTTGTTTAGAAGATCCCTCTAGAATTTGTGAGCGTTAGGATGCAATATAAGATTCGAGTCCTCTGTTGTATCTACCCTTTTAGGGCAATACTCCTCTGAGTATGCAACCGAGACCAGAGGAATTTGGGTTCCTCATCAGTCACAGACTGACTGTAACAACCAAAAAACTTGTGTCCGTTACAGTACTTACCCTCTTTACATCTTCTCGTTTGACTAAAAAATGTCAGCGACTTCCTTTCAAATTCACAGAAAACAAAGACGATTTTTCTGAAATTGATTTTATTTTAGAGAAAACCAAAAAACTGTTTTACGAAAAATCAGTCGATTCTTCAATTTTAGAGAAAATCAGAAAACGCTTTCTATTACTTGAAGAATCAAGACGATTTTCCAAACTATTTTAAAAATCAAAATTCTTGAGTTGAGTTTGTTACTTCTTCGAAAACTACAAAACATCAAAAATATATTCAGGAGCCATAGCATCCTACTTTTCTATAGCAATTTTCTCATAACTTGGCCTTAGAAAGATTATCCATTTTATTGACATGAAAGTGCGCCAAAAATAGATAATTAGGTATATTTTGTAGAAGACTTTCGAAAAATTCAGTCCAAAAATTTGGATTTGTGTCTCAACAACAAATACGTTTCTGTACTTTTTCATAGTGTGTTTAAATAGCGTATAGAAAATTATGCAGTCAATAAAAATGACATGTTATTGCAGTCAAGTACTGAGCAAATGATGTGTTTATGGCATCCAATACTTTTAGTGCTACAGAAGAACGGTACATGCTTATTTAAAAAAGAACATATCAATAAAATCTACATAAAATTCTCTATCTTTTAGTATCAGAACCAAACGTTCTGATCGAGTCTAGTTTAAAAAAAGCCTATCCAAGACCGGCAATTTAATCTGGCCCAACCATTACTGTATATTTGTTTATTTATATCACTGATTCAAGGCAGAAAAAAATTGCGTCTAATAGCCATTCTTTTCTTGATCAAATTTACCTCCGTTAACGTTTTTTTACATTGAGACTGTTCTGATTTTAGTCGAAACGAATTAAACCAATACGATTTTTCTCAGAAAGTTATCAGAACAGCTTAAAAGATGGTCTGAAGTACAACTGTTCAGCTTATAGCACATGATACGTTCAGCATTACACACCTGTATGTTCTATCTTTTCTGCGCATAGTAATTGCAAGAAAAAGATAGACCACACTGGTGTGTAATGCCGAACGTATCATGTGCTATAAGCTGAACAGTTGTACTTCAGACCATCCTTTAAGCTGATAACTTTCTGAGAAAAATCGTCCTGGTTTAATTCGTTTCGACTAAAACCAGAACAGTCTCAATGTAAAAAAACGTTAACAGAGGTAAATTTAGCCAAGAAAAAGTGTATAATGCATAATATTATCTGTTAAATCCTTATGAACATCACTTAGACAAGTGCTGATTACAAGGAAAAACCAATTTTATTATTACACTCGAACGGTTAGAAGAATTTTAATTTTGGTTAAAACAAAATTCAGAAAACAACTCCCCTAATTAGTTGTTACTTTATTCAAGTATTCACATATTTATTGTACATTGTGTTCAAAAAACATTTTTAGATACTACGTCAACATATTTTCGCGTAAAACGTGATTTTATATGTGCTTTTTTAGTTTTATTTGTCTAAGAGATAATGTCGTTACAAGCTTTTTAGATCCATTCTACAAACACTTTTCTACTTACAGTATATTAGTATTTTAACATTATCTCATTCTGACGTTTTGGTTTTAAATCTTTAAGAAACTGAACTTCATAGACAGAAAAGGGTGTACCATTTGCATGCAGAATGTCATGAAACCATATCAGCGGCGTCGGAGCTCCTTCTGGCGAAAACCACGGATAAATTGTCTGAGTTTTGCCCGATACTAATCCCCAATTGATGGAACCGATGTTATTTGAGTAAAAATAAGGTATATGAGTAAATATTGTACTGCCTGCTGTACGAGCCAAATATTCGGTACAAATTAATGGTCTATTGAATGTTTTTAATTGTTCAACCATTCTCATTGTGTCGGCTAATGGAGCATAATTATGAAATGTAATCACATCGGATATTGATATTTCGTATTGAGCAAGTTCTTCCGATAGCGAACTGGCAGGTGCAACTGTTAACGGTTGAACTGGATTAGCAGATATAGCAGCAGCATAAACTAATTTTAACAAGGGTAAAACAATTGGTACTTGTTGACTGCATTCTGGTTCATTGTACAAATCCCACAGAGCTATTCTTGTATCATTTTGAAAACGAGTAATAATGTCAGCAGTATATCTAAAAGAACAGTTATAGTCTAATATAGATAAAAAATTATGATTAAATCATAGCTGCCTTACTGCTGTAAAACAGACCATTTTGTTTGATCTAACAACATTTCTTGGCCCGGATCTCGAACCCAGCCCGAATTGTGCACACCCGGAATAGGTATTGGTTGTAGTCCGAGTTTAGGATTTGGTGTATGACATTCATCGAATAAAACAAATATAATTTGAATATTGTTTTGGGAGGATATTTGCAAAAATTTATCAATTCTTGACGCAAAATCATCGGCATTCTGCTGCCATAGTAAATGATGAAGATACACGCGCATCAGATTCATGTTCAACGATGCCGCCCATGATAGTTCTCTTGAAATTGTTTCAATGTCAAACGTTTCTGATTGCCACATTTCCAATGAATTAATCGCCGTCGATGGAATAAAATTTGTGCCGATAAACCATGGTTGTTGTTCATACCATTCATTCGCTTGTGTCTCTGTCCATCGTGCAGCATATCCATTATTCACAAAATAAAGCAAAATTAAAAATAGGTGTCGATCTTTCATTACTTATTTTTCATTATAATCGGCTGATATTTTAAAATATCTACTTGGCGACATTTTGCAAAAAGTAAATATTATCGCCTTTCTAAATGTGAGTGCTCGACATAAGAATAGAATTACGATTTTATACGAACCTTGTACATCTTATAGAAGATTAGCATTTCGTATACATCTCATTAATACATAAATTTACTTTATTTTTTGTTATGTTCGTACAATATATATTTGCTATTGATCACAACAAAAAGGTTTGAACAACAAAGATATAAATATTCGAAACTGAACCAAAATTACTTTTGAAACTATCCGGAATACCTGAGCGACTCGTTAGTCAGAGAAACTTTTACAAACATAAGGGTGCATCTAGTAAACATTGGGGAACGTTGTAGTTACAAAAGTGACTTTCTAGACGTATTGAAATGCTATGAAAAAGTATTAAAAATTTATACAAATGTTTCATTCTGCAATTATTCTCATATAGCAAAAACATATAATGATATTGAAACAATGTATCAGACGAAGAACAATTCTGACGAAGCAATATTATATTTTTAAATTTACTAGAATTGTCATTGGATAGTGTTTTACTTTTATCAACGAATAGCAATATTGGCACAGTATATCACGAACGCGATAAATGTATCGTAGCATTGGAAAACTATGAAACAGCTTTAAAATCTGCACTAAAATATGTTTTAAGCAGAAAAAGTACTTTTGAAACAGATTTAAAAACACTTTCAATACTTATCACAAGCTCGCCACATAAGATAAAAATATTAAGTGTGTCTAAGTAGAAGCATCGTAGCTGAAAGTATTTGATATCAATTCGACAGCCTTATCACTTATTCATCCTAAGATCATAGTAGAATATAAAATATTACCTTAAGATGCATCAGTCAACACCAGGGCTGGGCGAACCATGCCTTCCCCCGGCTCGCATTCACCACAGCTCGCCAGATAGCGGCTCGTAGTACGGCTCAACAATAATATCGTAAAGTCAGATCGCACGCGATTCAGCTCGTAGGGCCACGGCTCAAGTGCAACTGAATTGCACGCGAGCCCAGCCTCAAGCCTTAGATACCCGGGTATCTAAGGCTTTTGACATGGAACATGGACAGTATCACGTATCACATATGAACTTTGAATTCCATTGATTATCATTGTAAGCAGAGATGTTTACAGAAGCGATTTTTAAGCAAAACTTTAGCCATACTGTTGATGGCCATGAACACTTTTCATCAAAATCAGCTATGTTAAATTCATACCGTTTTTTCTTATCACTAGTATATTTCAAAGGAGCAGTATTTTTAATAGAATTTTTTTTCAGAATGGAACCTTCTACTCTGATACGAAACGTGAAATGGACAAAATGGGAAAAGTTGAAATTTTTGTCCAATAGCGACTAGAAGAGATTTTTTCTTTCTAATATCCTGTTGATACTAATCGTCAGACATAGCGATGACGGATCGTGATAAAAATTAGAGGATCAAGAAGAAATTCTCAAAAAAAAGTAGAAAACAAAGTGTGATATACTTTTCTCAGCATGAAAAACAGAATGGAAATTCATTATTCAAAGTGAAAACCTATTTTTCTCTCGCTTGTCCCACTAATCATTAAAAACACTGCATAGGAGTTGAGGAAGAAGACACTACGTCATCGTCTTCAAGAAAAGATAATGACGTTGACTCCATTTGGATTATTGTTGTCATTTATCTCGGTAGAGAAGCAACGTTTATCAATGAAATTTATACCAATGATGGATAGTAGAGTGTTCTGCTACCAAAAATAATTTGAGCTTGATTGAACAAGCGAATCAAAAGTTATAGTCAAAATAGAGACCGTTACAGAATTTCAAAAAACGGAACTGTTTTTGGACGTATTCTCGTAAAATGCAAATTATTCTGTCTAAAATTAATTTTAAAATGATTGCTTAGTTATTAAGTTAAAGCTCACACTTTGGGCTACCAGTTTCTTGGTTTGTCTCACAAAAGACCGCATTTTCAGTCAACAAAAATTTGAAGATAATAAATGTATTAAATAAACTAACGTAGTCAGCATCATGGGAGTCCATTACAAATAAAGACTAACAAGATTTAACTGTTATCATCGATACGTTTCGGAATGGTAAGAAAAATATCATCAAAAGTGAATCGAGCTAAGGAAGTCTTAAAAACTGTTAGAAAGGAAACCTGGTGAAAATGTTCAGTAATCATCACAATTAGTGTTTACAAGAATACTAAACTCGTATATATCATTCTTAAAGAAGTCAGCACTTCAAATTTTAGGCATAACAATTTCGGCATAACGATTTTAGGCATTCGATAATTGTTTAGCATGCTCAGCATAGCACTAATAAAGTACTCTACAAGAGACTTACATTACTCACATTGAATATCGAGTTATAGATTGTTAATATAAATCGTAGAATAGCAACTCTATTGCTTCTCATATATTGATTATTCATCGCTATTGTATGGTTGTTGTCTTTCTTTTCTTCACCACGATAATATGCGATACCGACCTTTATTTTATTAACGGAAACGTACACAAGGTATTTATGAACACTGGTAGAGGAATGTGTGAAGAACACCATTCGAAGCAAATATTTTAAGTTGCGTATATTTATTTGTATGATAATTAGGGAACAGAAATATTCTTACGTAAAAGAAAAATAAGAGTTTCGACATTCGGAAAGCGACAAAAACGAGGTCAATACTTGGCGCTTTTCTCCATAAATATACATAGTAAGACCTATGTACCGAATGTTTTATTAGCAAGAGGCATGAAAATAACATATAGGAAAAAGTTTGACACACAGATTAAGTTCTAAGAAAAGGTAAAAGCAGTCTAATTTTATGATGCACTCTGTGACATGATAAAGTGAAGGGGAACACAAATTCAGCAGAATTTCATAACACGAGCGATAAACTGGAAAATAAGTTTCACTCAATGATTTTCATATCGTAACTATTCATTTGACAAGTATTGCATCTCGTCCGCAATCGAGTGTATTGCACTCAAAGTATTGCACCTCGTCCGTTTTTTGTTGAATACAACTAATTGTACCATTGTTAAGTTTTTGGGTCATTGTCCTATTTTCTTCTCGGCCCAAAGTACCCGTATTTGTGTACTGCTGCAATCGAATTCTTATGGATGCGTTCGGACTTACATAGGCTAGAATAACATTAATTATTTTCCATAATTCTTGTCTGAAAGTGGTTCCGGATAACGTGTAAATGTAGAATGACGTACTACAATTGATGAAGGATAACTGACGCATCACTTGAGAAACTAAATTTTCAGCTGCCACTTGGTAATCACTTTTGGCCATTGTATTAGTGCTGTAGATTTTCTGGATTGCTATTGGAAAAGTACAAATAACAACAGATATAAATTGAAGTAAAAACATCGAAACTAGTTGTCGATCCTTTTGACGAATACGTATCGTACTTGTTGGTCCTATTTGAGAACGAACTCGACGAATATTTCTCAAAGTGAGACATCCGAATACGATCATGACCAATGGAGGAGAAAAACTGTACGTTGCAAAGAATAAAAAATCATAAAATACTCGGTATGAGCCTGCCCTCGCATAACAATAGGGTGCATTTTTCACTATCGAAACCTCGAATAATACCAGAACATGGCTATAAATTAGACACAGTAGACCGGTGATAATGATACTTGCTTTACAGGCAACTGATAGTGTACTAAATCGTCTTTTTTTAGCATCCATGGAAGAAATTGTATAACGATCAATTCCAGCCAGAACAATAAACCAAGATGACAGCGAAAGACAGACGTGAAGTAGAAAATATCTTATTCTGCAGAATGAGACATAATTATCGACCAGGTCAATACCATAACCATCCGAGATTAATCTTATGATCAAACCAAAGACTAACACAAAAATACTAGCAATGGTTGAAGCTAGGAAGTATATTGCGCAAGGATTATTAATTAAAGATTTTCTCGTAAAAATGATTATATTAAAAATATTGCCAAATGTTCCTGAAAATTAAAACAATGAACGTAGAACAATTACTGTGAGCTTGTGGGGAATATTCCTTACCAAGGGCAAGAATGGGAATAGGCGCATATCGATTGAACTGAGAACTGATTGCATTCAACGTTGCAACCCCATTTGTCGTCATTAGTCACGTTTTATATAACTGGTATTTGACTCAAGTTCTGAAGTTAAGCTCACCGAATTTAATTATTTATGGAATATATCTTTTTCATTTACAGAATCCAAACGCATGCAGTCATAAAAAAACTCTTTTTTTCATATTTTTTTTGTTAGATGGCATTTGTCTAATTTACCATTCACTTACACTGAATTAGTGATTCCAAAGGTGTTATTGAATCAATCGTTGTATTGTTTTCAACAGGAGCTACAGCTTCATTCATCTGCTGTGACGTGTGAATGTAGAAAATGTTGATTAACATTTCAGTCTCATTGACTAGTATCCCAGTGGTGGAAATATATTTCACATAATTGAAAGAAACTCTAATAATGTAATGTATGAAGTCACCACAGGGCAATCATAGGTCATCATACATAATTACAGTTAAATATCCACCATCAGATATATTAAATCTTGAGAATAAATGCTAATGTTTAACTCCTATATTTTCCTGTCTATTCGATTCTACTCCAAAGAATACGATGAGATGATGGTGATTGAGTTGTTCTGTTTCATTTTCAAAAACTGCATTTTTCATAAGATTTGTCTTGAGTCAATTAAAGTTTCGTAAGTTAATATAGACCAAACATTTGCATCTGAGCATAGGCGGCGATCTGATTCTAATCAAGGGAAGGCTCAAACATTTTTTTCAAACAATGATGCAAAGAAATCAAATATCTGAGTCACTCCAAGCCCAAGTCTAAGGACTCCGCCGCCTAGGGTATCAATATCGTTGCATGATCAGAGCGACTGTCTAGCAATACTGTGAATTCTGTTTCTAAACCTCGTTCAAATTTTCCACAGGCAATTTCATAGTTGTCATTTAAAAATGAACAGATGCAATGTAACTATTTGTTGTCGCATAACCAAATTCTACAAATTTTGCTGGAAATTTTCTAAGACTTTTGAATAACCGTCTTTATTAGTGCAAACTTCTTCAATACCATTGTACGTTGTTGCACAATTGGAATGATCTGAAAACGTATTTTTAACTGAATATCTGTTTTCTCATAATTGATCATTGCTGCCATATGTTCTCTATGATTGCTATAAATTTAAATTATAAACAGATTACTACGTGTTGACTGGTATATCTTAACGTAATATTTTATATTCTACTATGATCTTAGGATGAATAAGTGATAAGGCCGTTTCGTACTGTTACATTCCTTATGTAGCACCATTCCTCATTTAATAAATGAACAATTTGAATACCCCTTTGTCATAATGAGCTAACTGGTGCTTTTTTATATGCCTTCGGAACGATGCCATCCGATTTTATCATGAGACTGATCACTGTCTTTTTCCGAAATACACTCGTCGTAAAATCATAATCTGTTCTTTTTACTAACACGGCTAGAAATGACATTATATTATCGAGTTCTTTCTCCAAACCTTTTAGGTGAGGAAATTCGTGACTGACGTCGTGGTCCCATTGCGTAATAGCAAATTTTCACTCAAAGATTCAGATGATTTCCTCAAATTTTAAAACAACATTCATGGAAGGCGCTAAGGGCGTAGCTTTATGCTATGGGAACTTCCATAAAGCGAATGCTGTTTCATGAAAACATACCGTACAGAGCTCGAATACGTCTTATTTTGTTAAAAAATGCTTGCTGTATACAACGAAGTTACTTGCAAAGAATTTTTCGATTGAACTCGAGACCTTGGTTTTGTGAGATTTGGGTTTTCCAGAAGCCGTGGTTTCAGAAGTTTCGACAGAACCTTTGTTTACACCAGATCAGATAAAAAATTGTTTCAGCTGTTCAAATCGTTTTTCAAATTTGTTCTAGCTATTTTGATCGATGAGAAAAATGAAAAATAAAGGTGGACGAAGAAGTTTTCGACCCACTGTAGGTTTAAGCGGCGAAGTATTGAATACATAAAAGCCGCTGTCAAGCTTCGTTAAGTTTTCGATTAACATGCATTGTAGAGCTTTTCAAGGCGCATCGAATGATATATGAATGATTAGAGATCCTCTTTAGTTTCACAGAAAAAGTGATAAAGAGTTCCATCGGCGCAGCCACGACCTATGGTATTAAGCTCATAAAGCCTACACTATCACGCGTTTTTCGCATATGCCTGTATATCAGATTGTAGCCCATGAAATGCTCTATCAGGTGGTTTATTTAGTCGAGTGACATAAAGAAAACACATTGCCATGGACTATTAGTTCTTGGATGGATGTACTAATTTTTGCCGTATACAGAAGGATATTTCTACTTTCTCGACGGAAAGTAGAAGGCGGATGGAGTATCTATGAGCTCTCGTTTGACTACAGTTTTCGCGGACGTGTTCATGACTAGTTTTGAAGAGACGCATATGAATACAATTTCAACTAATATCACAAAATTGCTCGTGTGACGCCGATATGTTGATGATACTTCCTTGTGATTTTCGAAAATAAAAAAACGAGAGAATTGGTTCTCGCCCCTTACCTGCCGTCTTTAATTGACAGAGTTTAATTATAATGTACGAAACCAGCAGAAATTATTCAAAGAAGAAACAAAATAAATATGCAAAAAATAAAATATAGCACAATATGTATAATCAGCCAGTCATATATCCAGTTTTCAATCTTAAATCTCGTAACGCAACCGCTCGTCTCAATCGTTCAATTTCTTTTTGACATTTGTTATGGAATTCTTTTAATTGATCAATAGCTTTAGTTCCTTTTCCACCTTCAAGTGTTTGTGACATGTTAAACGCACATGTTTCCAATATGGATAATGAATAACTGAAGGCTGGCTCATTATTTCCATATCCTGTAACGAAAGGAAGAAAATTCCGATACATACAAGAGAATTAGAATGTAATCTACGAACCATCAGCTGAAACAGCAACAAATTCACATATTCGATGTAAATAATCAAGATACATTGCCATTTCTTTAGCGTGTTTTAACAAAGCTTCACGTTTATCAATCTGTTTTTGGATAACGTCAGTACTAAATTCATTCACTTTTTCGAACGGTATTGTGCTAATTAGTCGCTTTGCATGTTCCAAACGTTTCTGTTGTAATTCATATAGTCGTTCACGTCGATGTGTAATCGCTGTAAAATAATGTTTTCTTGCATCATTACGTTGTTTAACTAGAGTTTCTTCTTGCAATGCTCTTGTGGTTTGTGGACATTTGAATGCACCCGTTTCGGGATTTGTGTGTTCTCGCCACCAGCCGTAGCATGTCCAGCAAAATTCAGCACCACATGAACATGTCATATGATTACCTAAAGGAAATGAAATTTAAAATAAGCTTCGGTCGAAAATCCAGTAGATAAAGAGATGCTCTTACATCCGCCATTCTTTTCAATAAATTGGTTGCACGACAAACAGTTACGACCCTGAACCTTAACTATTGCATTGTAATCAGAGATCAGATCACCATTTCTGTATACTTCATCCATGTAGGCTCTATAGCTTGAGCATGTGCAAGGAAAATGAGGTTCTTTTTTACATTTCAAACAAAACTAAAATAGAAATATATAAGAGAAATACTTACTTCAAAGCGATTGGACGGTATATAGAAGAAAGACAAAACCTTACCTGATGTCCACACATACAACGGACTGCATCAAATCCGGTGTTTATAACTTGAATGATATTTGTACATGATTTTTGTGGACACTTGACAAATTCACGAGACAGATTAACCAAACATCGCTCAATATTTCTTTCATACGTCGATAAGCAACGAATATTAACAAGTGATAAAATAGTACCTGAAACAGAAAGGAAAAGCAAATATTTCATGTCAGAGAGCCTTATGCGTAAATTTCTCGGGTTTCAAGCAGAATAGATCTCATTGTGGAAGGAGAACTAAGAAATCCAGCTGCAGATTTGGTGAGAAAGTGTTTAGGAGCAAAATTATATTATTATTATTATTTAAAAAAATCATATTATTCAGAGAAGCGCTCTGAAAAGCAACGAGCATATTAAATGGGAAAAGCAAGAACATTTTTCATATCTCTCGCTGAAGATTCTTCCCATCTCTCATTTAAAACAGCTAAAAGGCTGGTTCTTCAGTCTCCAGGTGGTTTTTGGTGTGCAATTTACTTTGCTTACCAACATCAACTAACGAAGAACAGTTCCACTCAGGACATAAACAGATTGTAACTCGTTTAACTGACATTTCTAAATATTGTTTCCAACAATCATTACACAGCCAATGTGCACATTCTCGCAATGCTGTTGCTTCGACTGTTTGATCCATATCTCTATAACACGTTGTACAAATCGATGGTTTAACTAATTCATATTCTTCTATTTCCACTGGTACGAAATCCTCCTCTAATTTCTCCTCCGTCTTTGTTGTAGCATTTTTCGTATTTCGGTCAATTAATTGTATTTGTTTGATTTGATGATTAACGAATTCTGAATCACTCATGTCATTTCCAACGTTTTGTTTGAATTTTCGACGATGTAATTCATTATCGATCGGCTTGAATGTATCGAATGGAAGCATCGTTACAAAATCAATTGCTTTCTCAATTAAGTCATTCACCGTATACGGAACACTATCGTTGAGATTTTCCAATTCCAAAGTGTCGCTGTAAACGTCAATGTTGATTGCAACTCGAGCATGCAAGTATTCGCTTGATGAAGAAGTTGTAGTTGTTGTTACGGGTAATAATTGTTCATCATCATCAAAAACGATAACCAGATAAGTATCCAATGTACAATATAAGGGAAACAGATCAAAACAATGGTCCAATGATGGATTTATTAACTTGTTTTTTGTTGATTTTTTTATTAATTCTTCCCAATGAGATTTGAAACGATTAGCTGCCTGTTTAACATGATCCGTAATACGTATCAGATATTTTAGAGGATAGCATTTTGCGTCCACAAAATTTTTACCATATTCGTTAATCATATTATCGAACTGAACGGACGAACGATTGAGTAACACGGAACGAAATGACATTTCCATTGAATGAGTATGGGATTTCTTATTTGGAAGGGTATCAAAATCCAGCTAAAAGTAAAACAGAAATATGTCACAAAAAACCGTAGAATTTCAGAAATTGTTCATCTGCGGAGATTTATCTCTGTCTAAAAGCAAAATACTCTCCAAACTCTTCTTTAGAAAAAGACTAGTGCGCTTAGTAACGCTTTGATCAAGACTCATTCTCGAAAACTGAATGCTAGGCTAAGATCCTAGCTCGATATATAGAGCCCTCTGCACTTCTAAAGGTAACTAGAGGAATAAACATTCGCATTCTTTCTGCAGATTCTCTTGATGTATATATTTTTACTTGATATTTGCTCGAAGTCTAGACGAAATGTTCAAAAAATAAGCGTTGCTTACTTCTTTGTCTCCATTAGCTTCTCTAATCGGCAAAGCGCCACCTGATTTCATATATTGCTTCATGGCTCTGTTGTATAATTTTTCTTCTCGACTTATTGTTCGCTGAAGTTTTTTCGATGTCGTCGTTGTATTATTGACCTTTTGACTTCTCGATAAATTCAATAATTCTTTGCGGTGTTCATCATGTCTTTCTTTTTCGTTAGGAACGTAGATAATCGAAGCTTTTGGATCGTGTTCTGTTTCTAGATTTATTATGATGGACGATGATTGCAAACTATCCGCATTTTCATCAGCAGCTGTGACAGGTTGAATGAAGCTATCAAGCATGAGTTTTGGTACTGACGATGGATAAGACTAAAAAAGGATGAGTAGGAAAAAGCAATGATGTGAAAAAAAAATAATATTTTCGAAATATTTAGTTACCGATGTTTCAGGTGTAGGAGGTTCATCGCTGTCTTGCTCGACATGCTGAGCAAGTTGAATATTTTCTTGGATTTGGTTAAATCGAGCACGCTGTGTACTGCCTTTGGTCTTTTTTGCTAAAAGATAAAATAGAACACGTTAAATTTTAAAGAAGCAATTTTTACTTAAATTATATCCAAACATCAAATAGTTCAACTATCCAACTTCTCGCTCACGGCGCCCAACAGATAGTCGCTTTAACCGAATTCTCGGAATCTTTTCATTATTCTGTACATACATTTTCCGTGTGATTTTCGTACATTTGCAAGTTTATTTTCTCTTGGTGGAGGTACCGAGGCATAATATGTCACATCGACATCTTGATCATATTGTTGTTGTTCATCCTCTTCGTCTGCTTCATTTCCACCACCTTGTCTGTTTGTTCTTGCTGCCTGTTGTTGGCGTTGCTGCTGTTGTCTTTGATTCGTTGTTACTTCAGCATTAACATTCGTATTCGTATTCGTACTATTATTAGCACGAAATCGATTAGGAACATTTGTTTGCATATAAGTTTTTTGTGGCCGTTGTATTTTCTCTTTCCCGCTGCCACTACTAGTTATACCTACACAATTAGCTTGTAAATTTGTATTATGAAATTCATAGAGACGATATTTTGTTTTATGCGGTCTTGTCGATTTCTTTTTCTTAATTCTTTGTTGCGCTTCTTCTTCACTTTCCGATGATGATGTTGATTCATTAGCAATTTCATTTCGAAATTGTTGTAATAAATTCCAATTTTGTCGTTTGTTCAATGAGTATTGAACGTTTTGATTTCGAATACTAAATGGATCAGTGAGACCTGGGATACTACTTGAGGAAGCAGTTTCATTCCATGATGCATGAATATAAGAACGAGTAGATGGTTTGTTGGGATTGTGATGTTTATAGATGGTTTTACCACCAGCGGCTAACTGTTTTGTTGGTCGAAGATTCGGCTTGTCCGTAATATCAGCTAAAGCTGCCATACTTTGATTGATACTTAATACTAGAGTATAAAACTACTACTTGAAAAGTTTCCTTAATTAAGAAAACATGTTTCTAATTTACTTCTGTACTGATAAAATGAACTCAAAACTTTCGAAATTTTTTCTTGACTTATAATTTGTTATCGACACACAAAATTTTAATATGATTGTGGATTTTTCACCTTTTTCTCTCCTCGTCGTTTCTATTATAGTTTGGTATACATGCTTGCTTTTATATTTTTCTTTCTCTCCTTCATATGTTGCCAGAAACATATTTACTTATAAACCAACCTTGAAAATAACTCGTGTTCTATTTTTTGCGACGTAAAAAAAAAAAAAGAAAAAAACACGATGTTTATATGAGTAATATACATGTAAGAAAAGAAATGATACTTCTATTACAGAACTGACAATTTTTATCTTAGAGTACACATTGTTAACAATAATGGTGTCATGCAATGAACAAGTTCACACGATAAAAAATGTGACTCTAATCTATAAGTGATTGATTGGCAAATTCGAGGGCTTTTTTATAAGGCTAGTAGCAAACAGCAACGTTGAATTTAAAATGTCATTGAGACTTTAATAAATCGGACAAAATTGCATAATCAAACGCTTCGATGCACACAGTAATTTGATCTACGCATTTCCCAAATTTACTCGTTTCTTAACTGGAGATCCAATACCTTTTGGATGAGAACGACATTCTTTCTTCTTGTTTATCTTTTTTTCAAAATTTCAAGTCAGGCGCTAAGAAGTGACACACTGAGAATCTTCTGAATACATCTATGCATAAATAATATTAGAAATTAAATATCTGAGGATAACGAAACTCTTTAGTTGCAATTCTTCCACTAGAAATTTTACACTGTTTAGGCATAAAACCTTCTCTAAAACATTAAAAACATGTCTTAAAATCACTGACCCTATTGAGTATAATCAAATACTTATATTATAAATTATATTTAGGAGAGGTTGCACCAGCGTATTGGAAAACTGGCAGTAAGACCAAAGCAAGAAAAAAAGTATGTAATAATTTTTATGACTTATCCGATTCTTCATCGTAAACTGTGGTTATAAAAAAATATCTCGGCTTGAAACAGTGACTTCTAAATAAACTGAAAGGCTTTTTCTACATCAGTTTTCAATGCTCATTCAGAAAAAAATAGTTTGAAAGCTACGACATGTAATACATCTTCAAAAAGATCGATTTTATTATAGAGGTCGCATTTTCCCCTTTTTGACCCCTTTCGAGTTTTTCAATTTTTCGACCAGAAAATAAAGTTTAAGAAATTAAAAACCCAATATTTTTGTACACTTTGAGAGTGATGTATAATAAGTTAAAAAAAAGTTCCACTTGAATTTTGCATTATCTGCATCTTACTTTCTCGATATCTTATTACACTTTTTTCGCAATGTCTGTATTGTAGTAGATTGTAGCCCGTGCAACGCTCTGTCAGAAGATATATTCAGTCGAGTGACGTAATACAAAGAAGTAACCACAAGATTGCTAGTATGAAGAATAGATCTCACATCTCACGTACTAGTAAATGCTATTTCGTTTTTTTCTTTGCTTAAATGCACTTAGCTTTCAATGTTTTATAGAAGGCTCACATTGAATATGTGTCAATGAAATCTTGTCAAATATTAGGCTCTGTCTCAGGAGTCTTTCGTGACTCGCCCGCATTTCTTCGTTGTCATCTGTATAAAACTTGTGTAAGAACCGTGCTTGAATACGGTTGTGTTATCTACGATTCCACTTTTACTTCTCATCTTGAAATTTTGGATAAAATTCAGCGGCTTGCTAGTAGGATCATTTCGCGAGATTTTAGTAGTTCTTCTTCTTCTCTACTCAAACAGTTTAAAATTCAACCACTTTCAAGCAGACGTCTATATTATCGCCTTCTGTATTTCTATAAAATTTTCTATTATAAAAGTTCTCTCTCCTCTTTTGATCTGATTTCACAGTTAACAACGCGTCAAAGTTCTCGATTAGGCCATGATAGTCGCTTGTTTATTCCTCGTTTAATGTCAAAATCTACATCTAGCTCTTTTCTTCCGCGAACATCAAAAGATTGGAATAAACTACCTTCTGTTTTAGCCTGTCAAACTTCTTTAGCCAAATTTAAAAATATGCTGAGAGCTTACGCAGGTTTTTAATAATGCTATTTTACTTATTATATTTTTTAATTTTTTGTTTTAGGTTATCACAGGGTATCCACGCATGCCACAAGACTTTTGTTCCTTTTTGTGATATCCTGCTATTAAAATAAAATCTTATCTTAAAAAAATTATTTGAATGAGCAGTTGGAAATAAAGTTTTAAATATAAAGTATAATACTGCTATGAAAATCATAATAAA